TACGTATTTTTCTTCCCTTACATGAAGATGAAAATGATGAAATGCGGAAACCGAATATTAAGTAAAATTTAATAACAGTCCACCAATTATTAATTTACATAACTCTAGGAAAAATCTGATAAATGCTGAATGCAACTCAAAGAACTGATCCTGGTTCGTTTAAAATACATAGGAGGTTTATAAGAGGTGCTTTCCAGTCCTTTTGAATAGAGAGTAGCATGCACCCGGGTGTGACGCTCCAACTACTCTAGCAAACACGGGAACGCGACGTTTGTTGATTTTTTGCTTAGACGGTGACAATTTCTATCACACTGCCAAACAATGAAAATGTAAACATATTTTCAGAAGCACTGTCAGACTATGATGATTTTAGAATGATGGCGCAACACGTCAGCGGTCTGCATTTGTATTGCAAAGCTTCTCGATAAATATGTCGAATTCGTATTTTAGTGAAGACATTCAAAATTATTTTCAAACTGTCTAGTTATAGATGAAGCCAACTACAAGCCGCTATGAACCTGCATTCTTGCACTCTCTTGTGATCTTTATTATTCAGGAACATCTCAAATGTACGTTGTGACTCTGAGTCATAACACTATAAGTTTTTTACCAGCCTCCATTGTCTGGTAAGGTTTAATGTGAGTTTAGTGCAAAAAACACTCTTGACAATCTTGACACATTGTCATTTGCGTTATCCCCACTGTTTCGGAGCGTATAAAAAGCTGGTGCATGAGGGAGCAGGGGTTTAAAAAATGAGTAGCTCACTTGCATGACACTAGAGCACTGGAACGGTATTGACAGGTGTTGGGTAGCTCCGAGATACTCCGAGTAACACAAATGAGGCACTGGAAAGCACCTAAGATATAGATTTGAGTCTTACATTCTACCAGGTCTTATAATAATAAAAGAAAAAATCGCCTTTTTGTAGTTAGTGGAGGAATACGAAGAGGCACTCGCGAGTGAGCTCTGGCAATAACTATTCTTGCGCGGACTATACAGGGGGATCCAGAACAAACATTTAGTATAAACTGAACAAATTTATATTCCGAAAATTTTGCAGCCCACTTTACTTGAGCCGAAGGTGTCTTTAGAAACCCTCAAATTTATTAGATAGCCTTAGAGAAGTTAAAAAAATCGTCCTTCGATCTTTACACATGTTTAGGAAATACCCTGTATACTATATGGTCAGCACAAACTGGCTGGTATAAGCAGTAAAGTACAACAACTCTTTTGTGGTTGTTACCTGCGATGATTTATGCGTTTAACATTGCAATGCCTTATTTACGTGGTTAGGTTAGTGAGAAGTATATGAAATATGAAAATAGGAATGTTTGTGGCTTATGGAAACTAAAAAAGGAATTATTTGCTCTTTGTGTTTGCTCTCAATTCGTTCATACCACTTCCGCCTGGTTATCACCATACTCACAGGGTGATCCAAATGGCTAGATATTTGCGCATATGCAAGGTGTATGGTAAAAGTGAAATAGCTGTGAGTTTTTTCCTGGCTCTTTAGTAGTGACCTTGAATTTGATGATACCCTGAGAAAACGTGATCAATTGAGCACTTGTACTGAATAATTTTGATTATTCGTAATAAGAAACTGAATTATCATGTTCAATTAAACTGAATTTCCTGGGACCAGTTTAATTAGAGATAGCAAACCGGATACATATTTTTATTAAACTGTTTAATAAGTTTAGATAATTTAGTTTATGTAGAATAGGTACACTTACCACAATTGAACATTTTAATAAAAACATTTAAGCTGTTTATTTGAATCGCGGATTGGATGCGACAGGCGTAGTACCGGTGATACGCTTCGAACTCAGTTTCGTTTGTGATTTTGGTTAGAGCATTTCTCGCTCCAAATGAACCACTGTGTATAGGGGAGACGCTGCTGACGTGACGGAATAGGAAGAACTTTGACATTTTATTTATACAGTCATATCTAGGTCAATGAAGGGCATTTATACCAAACATGTGCTCAACATAGGCTTAGAGTGCTTTTCTGGTATATTGTATGATGTATACATACGAAGTGGAGCCTCCTGTTGGTGTAGACTTTGTAGTATTTGAAAATATCGTAGTGTGTTTAAAATTCTGTCGAATTCATGAATATATACTAAGTGACATATAAATCCGAACACCCACTTTAAATGGTTTTATTTTAATAAAATTTTGTATAAGTACTTAATGAAGCATAATAAGTAAATGATAAAAATTTCAAAATGATGGTACTGCTTTAAAGCCCTTTGACCTTTAATAATGTGTGGATGCACCCTGATGTGCTACGCATTCTCCAACACGCCTAGGCATACTTCTGATCAGGTGGTCAATGTCCTCCCGTGGTATCTCATTCCAGGCAACCACCAACTCCTCTCGAAGTGCTTCTAGAGTCTGAGGAGGACGTTGCAAATTGAGCAATCTCCTACCCATCATATCTCACACGTGCTCAATTGGGGATAAGTCGGGAGATCTTGGTGGCCATGGTAACAATGTGACATCATTATGTTGAAAGAAGTCTATTGTGACTCTTGCAACATGTGGTCGGGCATTATCTTGTTGGAAAGTTGGATCTGCCAGGGTGTCAAGATAGGGTAAAAGATGGGGTTCTAGAACTTCGTGGACATAACGCTGCGCGTTCATGTTACCTCTGATGAAGATTAAAGGTGACCTGGAACCATAAGCTATAGCACCCCAAACCATAACTCCAACAGTGTGATGAACATGTCTTCCAACAAAAAACTGTGGATTCCTCCTTTCACCACGTCGCCTTCTAACCCTTACACCGACGTAATCGCCTTGAGTGGTGCAGACAACGGTCATTCTGGGATCAGGAATGGAACAGTATTGTCTTTAGTGACGAGTCTCGATTTTGTTTAGGCATGCACGATGGTCGTGCATGTTAGCTGTCACATAGCTAATTGAATGTTTTAATTCGCCTAATTAAAATTTTAATTGGTTTGATTAATTTTTTTCTCAGTGTACAACCTTGAAGATCAAATTAAAGTCAAGATCATTTCCATGAATGAAACCTATGAAACGTCAGACTCTGGAAATGGATAGAGCGGAACAATTTAGTTTCAGATATAGCCTTTGATAATATTCACGTGAAATAAACGTACCTCTTTACGTAGTATTCACGGCCCTATTCGACGTGGAAAGTCCGTTCAATTTTGGGCGAAATGCCAGATAGAGTCGACTTTACTTTCTGACGACGATTTCACGTGATCTACACACGTCGTCTTCATGCCTCCTTTCGACGTGGAAAGTCCGTTAACTTATGGGCGAAGTGTGAGATAGAATTGACGTCAGTCTGACGACGATTTCACGTGATGATTAACTCGATGAAGGTGGTAAATAACATTTGGATCATAAATGAGTTTAATAAATTTGGCGAAGCCTAGAGGTAGTACTCTGTCCGGAAAACAGGTTGGTCTAACTGTGGACAATAACTGTTATTGTTAACAACCAGTTTTCCAGACAGAATATCACTTACAGCCTTCACTAAACATACGGAACTCATTTTAACCCAAATGTTACTTACCACCTTCATCCACTCAACCCATCAAATGTTATTGTACTAAACAAGGCCACTGTGGTGGAAAAAATGTTTACAATATACAGTATTTAAACATATATGTGGTTTGAATATTAAGGGCAGATAAAATGAAGGATTAATATACTAAGTGACATATAAATCCGAACACCCAGTTTAAATGGTTTTATTTTAATAAAATTTTGTATAAGTACTTAATGAAGCATAATATGTAAATGATAAAAATTTCAAAATGATTGCACTGCTTTAAAGCCCTTTGACCTTTAATAATGTGTGGATGCATCCTGATGTGCTACGCATTCTCCAACGCGCCTAGGCATGCTTCTGATCAGGTGGTCAATGTCCTCCTGTGGTATCTCATTCCAGGCAACCACCAACTCCTCTCGAAGTGTTCTAGAGTTTGAGGAGGACGTTGCAAATTGAGCAATCTCCTACCCATCATATCCCACATGTGCTCAATTGGGGATAAGTCGGGAGATCTTGGTGGCCATGGTAACAATGTGACATCACTATGTTGAAAGAAGTCTATTGTGACTCTTGCAACATGTGGTTGGGTATTATCTTGTTGGAAAGTTGGATCTGCCAGGGTGTCAAGATAGGGTAAAATATGGGGTTCTAGAACTTCGTGGATACAACGCTGCGCATTCATGTTACCTCTGATGAAGATTAAAGGTGACCTGGTACCATAAGCTATAGCACCCCAAACCATAACTCCAACAGTGTGATGAACATGTCTTTCAACAAAAAACTGTGGATTCCTCCTTTCACCACGTCGCCTTCTAACCCTTACGCCGACGTAATCGCCTTGAGTGGTGCAGACAACCGTCACTCTGGGATCAGGAATGGAACAGTATTGTCTTTAGTGATGAGTCTCGATTTTGTTTAGGCATGCACGATGGTCGTGCCAGGGTTAGAAGGCGACGTGGTGAAAGGAGGAATCCACAGTTTCTTGTTGAAGGACATATTCATCACACTGTTGGAGTTATGGTTTGGGGTGCTATAGCTTATGGTTCCAGGTCACCTTTAATCTTCATCAGAGGTAACATGAACGCGCAGCGTTATATCCACGAAGTTCTAGAACCCCATCTTTTACCCTATCTTGACACCCTGGCAGATCCAACTTTCCAACAAGTTAATGCCCGACCACATGTTGCAAGAGTCACAATAGACTTCTTTCAACATAATGATGTCACGTTGTTACCATGCCCACCAAGATCTCCCGACTTATCCCCAATTGAGCACGTGTGGGATATGATGGGTAGGAGATTGCTCAATTTGCAACGTCCTCCTCAGACTCTAGAAGCACTTCGAGAGGAGTTGGTGGTTGCCTGGAATGAGATACCACAGGAGGACATTGACCACCTGATCAGAAGCATGCCTAGGCGCGTTGGAGAATGCGTAGCACATCAGGGTGCATCCACACATTATTAAAGGTCAAAGTGCTTTAAAGCAGTGCAATCATTTTGAAATTGTTATCATTTACTTATTATACTTCATTAAGTACTTATACAAAATTTTATTAAAATAAAACCATTTAAACTGGGTGTTCGGATTTATATGTCACTTAGTATACTATAGTAATTTTATTTGAAATAACCACTTCAATAATCATAACAACTTCTTAAACACATGAGTATTCTAATTTTTTGTTCAAAGTTGTAAGCATTTTAGTTCTAAATATATCTTGTTAACAACGCTTCACCGATTACTTTAAATACAAACCAACATACATATCTGCTCATACATTTTATGTGAGATTTAAAAATAAGTGAATACTGATAAGATTATATATTAACTTATATACATATATAAATAAGAAAATAGATAAATACAACTTTTGCAGATGTGTTTTAATACATTTCATTGCATATTAGCGTTCTAATTAAATATGATCTTAGTGAATGAAACAATCGTTTTGTGAGCATCAGATTAAACATTGATGTATTCTTGGGTCCTTAGAGCTGCATAGTTGTAAAGAATCTACATCTACCTCGCATATAGGTGATGCATGGATCTTGTTCAATGTGTTCATTATTATCACTATTGTCAAAATCTTGCTCTAAATGACTCACATTTCTCGAAATATCCTCAGTTACTTCAAAATTTCCATTACCTGATTCTACAACACTGTTGTTGAGATGAAGCCACAACCTTAGAGGCATTTATTTTATTAAGTATTTGTAGAACTTCCTTTCAAACATGTCTAATGACTGATGCTCACTAATAACTTTCTTATAGTTCCTTTCACTTTGTGACACTGTCTAACAAAAAAAAAGAATCTGAGTAGAAAATCAAAGTTGAATATTGTTTTTAGTTAACACAATATTACCTTCTACTACTACTACTACTGAGGATAAAAGAAATATATGAATATTTTGTTTTATATCTTTTTGATGCAAGCTTTAACCAAGTTTTAATGGCATCTTCTTCACACATCTTTTTTGGTAGCATTGGTGCCAGAAAGGAACAGCCCCTTGAAATAAAATTTCATTATATAGATGTGATATAGTCAACTGTATACAACATAAGATTAAACAATCCAACCATAACTTAAAATCAATATAATTTGACTGGGGAAAAATAAAATATGAGAACTAAAATGCAGTATAAATTGTCTGATAGTCTGATAGAACATTCTATGTTTTAGTTTTTTTAATAGTAAATATTTTTTTACTTGTTTACCTATATATAAATCTGTCACATAAAAAAGGATTTTTGAATATACCTAGTTGTACACCAAGTCTTGTATGTTACATCAGATATAAAAAACAAAATTTGTAAGCAATAATAGGTCTGAAACTGTTTGGAACCCTATAAAGATCTGTTAGTACTTACTTATTACAACCTTGTTGAGAAATGAAGTTTTGAAAGCCTTCTTCTCTTCTCTAGTTCCCAAATAATTGTAGCTAACTGCCATATATCATGTCCCCCTAACATCGAAAAGTACAAGATCTGAAAAAGAAAATAATATTCTCCTAATTTGGTCATATAACCAACTAAAGTCCTATACTAATGAGATGTATCAAATCCCATGGCTACTGCTATTCAGTATTAAAATGCTGTACAGTTTCACTTTTGCTGAACAGACTCATTGTTCTACAAACATAAAGTCCCACATTGTAATAAAAAAGTCTTGTGGGTAATGAATTTTTGCAGTTTAATTAGTAGCTGCATTATTTGAAAAATTTTCAAATTAAATTAATGCTGTTCCTTGAATCCATAGTATTTTCTGCTCTTCAAAAAGGCTGGGGTTGTAATGTTATGTTTTCTTCTTGAATCGTAGAAAATTTTAGGCTGATAAAATAGATATAAATCAAAAGTATGAACATTTTGATGCGAATAGATATTTGTAACATAACGTCAAAATCGAGCTGTAAAACGAAACAGTAGAAAACTGTGAAAATCAAAGAGGCCATAAAGGCGTCCTACAATAATTGTTGGGACGACTGACGATAGCGATGCGGCCCTTAATTATAGGTAAAGTTTGAAGAATATACCTACCGTCCTCAAAAAATACTCTTTCGATATCGTACTGCTTATCCGGTACTTGCTCGAACTTGCTGCTTATATCGTGGCCACCACATCCGTTTCTCTCTCGGCGTCAGGCACTTTTCATGCAATATGGCAATATCGCCCCCAGCACCACCATCAATTTCATCCGAAAATTCTATTCCTATGCACATGGCTCATACAAAGGCATAGATACTGTCACGAAGCTGTTCTTGATTAAACGATGAGCAGGAACACAGTACGGCTTTTGTCAACGCACTTAAACTTTAGAATTTACAGGAAGATAAAGATACGTGCACATTTCGCAAAATGCAAAATTGATGCAGGATGCAGAACGCGACGTGAGAAACAACATGACGTTCGTGATGGGGAGCGTGGGAATGGCTTTGATTGGATCGGATCTCTATTTAAAAGCATGGTTGCCTAATGCTGCTTGTTCAATGTCTCTAAATTTTATTGAGTTGAAGAAGCTTAATGTACTTTAAATAAAATTCCACAGGTAATGTACTAGACTCAATCATAAAACAACTATTTATGAACTCTAAGAAATTTTTAATAGCATAGCTATGAAAAAAAGGATAGATCAAAGGAAGACGGAACGATACACAAAAGTCAGCTTCAGCCAAAAGCATTATAGAGAATTGCATCATTACAAAAGTAATCATAACAAGAAAACAATATCTAGCTTTCCAAATCTGAAATATAAGTATGTAAGTATGTAAAAAATCTTGGGAGCTAATACCGGTGATTGTGATGAAAATTCTGCAATCTGGCAATGCAGCTATGGCACTCTTCGCCATTGTCGCTTCCCCTTTCAAGCCACGATATTTAAAATTTATTGGTCATAAAATGAGGAAACAACGATATTATAATTAATTCTCAATCACACTGTCATATTTTATTATTTCAATAAGATAGTCGATGATTTTCACTTAATAATGGCTAATACATCTGTTTACATGGCATTATTAAGTATTTATAACAAAGCTCGCAAAGGATTTTAGGTTCGATATGCGCTTTTATATTTATGGCACCAGGATGTACCTACAAATAAATTACATCACGCAGGTACAGATGTATTTGCGGTCACTGTTTTACGTAGATAAAACGTCCCTCATCGACCAGTGATGTGCTGCACCGGATTTCCACGTTTTGTCGACGTTTATCGATTATATTATAAGAATACAGGAGGAAATTATAACAAACTAATATGTTTACGTTAATTAGTCGGTTAAGTGACTGCAACGTAACCGGATTTTATTCGTGGTAGCGGAAATTGGTATAGAGGTGTACACACGTCGTAATATTCACGTTTTATCGACGTGGTGTGGTTATATCAGACAAATTTAAGCGAAATCTGGTCCAAAACTGACGTCGAATAAACGTAGAATTTTCCTTAAATTTCAACTTCGTCCAAAATCACCAAATATCTACAGTATATTCAGATAAGAGATAGACCGGACATAAACAAGACCACGTGATCATCGAACGCTGTAACATTCGGCAGGGACGTATTAAGAGTCACGCAGTACATATTTTAGATAGTAGATGCTGCTTTGCGTAACTTTGTAGTAAATTAGCACAATTCGATGTGTATACGATTGGTGATGGATATAGGATCATGTGGGGGTGGGGTAAGGAATATATAATGATGTAAATATACATAAGGGTTTCAAAATTTTCGCTTCGATTTCCAGCTTCGGATGCCGCCTGATGTTTGGTGAAATACAGTCGAATATAATCTCAAAATGGCGTTTAAATTAGCCTAAATTAAAAATAATCGTATATCTCTTAAAATTGCTTTTAGAATATTGATTAGTATATTTTTTGATTTCTAGGTAAATATGTAACCAAATTAAAACGTTCAAAACGTAAAAAAATGTGCATGGTTGAACATTGTCAGAAAGTAGATTCTTGAATAGGTTTTGCCAAAATGCGGTCAAAAATGTCAATAATTAATTAAAAAATACAGTAGCTTTATAATTACTTATAACTTACCGAATTTGATGAACGACATCTTTTATTGGAAAGATGAGCCTGATGAGCTTTCATCATCGCTACTGCCTGAAGCACCAACGTCAATAATGAATGGCTCGACTTGTTCCTCTAAAATATTGTCCAGTTCCCACATTCTCTTTTCAACTTTGTCTTTCACGTGCTTAATACAGTTTTCCCATTTTTGCGCTGTTATTAATTCTAGTGCTTCTTTGAAAAGTCCTTTGAGGTCACAAAATTTAAAAGTTGTATTGTGCTTAGCTATATAATTTTTAACCTCTGCCCATATGAGCTCAATGGGATTGAGCTCGCAATGGTATGGAGGTAAACGGAGCACAGTTTTATTTTGACTTGCTGCCATTTCGTCTATGGCGTATTTTTGATATTCCGCCTTGTGATCCTTGACAATTCTTAATAATTGTACTTTCAGCATTGCTTCTTCAAAGTTGATATTTTTCGAGCGGAGCCAATTTTGAACATCAACTTTCCTTGAAGCCGTTGTTGGGACCTTCTCCATTCTTCGAGAATGATAAGGCGCATTATCCAACACAATTACTGCGTTTTCCTCTAAGTTCGGTAAAATTTTTGAAAACCACTGTTCAAACGATTCGCCATTCATTTCCTCGTGGTAATCTCCAGTTTTCTTAGACTCAAAGCACCACAGACCGTCAACAACAAATCCATCCTCACTGCCAATATGGCAGATAATGAGCCTTTTCCCTTTACTGGTGTAGATTTATTTCAATAAGCGAACCTTTTTCAAATGTTTTCATCACATTCAGCGAAAAAACATTGAGACATGAGTATCAGATTGCTATAATTGGGATTATTTAGTCATATTGAAAGAAAGAATATTGAACGTCGTATGATTACTCAGCGCTTCACAATTTAATTTAAAGTTATAAACCTTTAAAAAATGAATGATCAGAAACCTGAAATACGCGCAAATATTAATATTAACAAATTATAACTTTATAAAGCTTAAAGTATGAATTAAAATGATTAGAAATATTAGGAACGGTACACAATATAAAACTTAGTAACTTTTTTTAAGTTTATAATATTCGACATATTTTAAGATTATATTAAAAAATTATTGAAATATCGAAAACACATAAAACATGGCTTAAAAAAGTGCTAACAAATGAAAATGACAATAAAACATCCACGCATTTTATCGAAAGTTTTGTTACTTGTAATATGTTTTATCTGCCCCCTGGAATTAATGTTTAGAACCTTGTTCCCAAGGTTTCAAAAACATCCGATTGTTGTCTATTACTCGTATTTACCTGCTGGATTTTTTAATCCGGTGGACAGTCCATCTAGAAAGGCCCTCCTGGATGAAGTTACAGAATCATCAACCCATACTTTACTTGTAGTGTGTCCTGCGTTTACCCACGTTTCATCAATAAAATAAATCTTCCTGTTTTGATTTCTATATTTCCCAATTTTTGTTAAATAACCCCTCCTCCATAGCACAATTTCTTCTCTATCCAGTAGTAAACTATTACGACCCCGTTTTTTCCATTTGAAATTTAAATGCTTCAGTAACGCATGGAAAGTTGATCGTTTGAAATTTGGCAACGTTGTATCTCCATTTACCTCCTGCAGTACTTTATCTATAGTAGGTATTTCATTCCTAAAGAAGAATTCATGCACTTTCCTCCTAATCGCATGCTTATCAGCTTCATCCAATGATTTAACAATACTTTTGCGATGTTTACTGGTCATTGGCTCAGAAAAGGTGTGATTTTTTTTGTATTGTCTTAACACATTAAACACTGATGCGCGACACACCCCAACTTTGTGAGAAACCTTCACAACAATTTCTTTGATGGTTGATGCCTCGTTCTCCTCGCGCTCGATCTTATATATATTCAAAATGACCTCTTTCATTTCTGCACTCAGGTGTCTTTTTTTAGAGCGTTTCCTAGGTGGACTACAGGAGTTTACAACTTCATCGGCAGTATCTGTACTACTGGGCATTTTGCGCAAGCAGTTGATAACAATAACAATCAATAGCAAGGTATAACAATAACAACGACAAACTCAACAACTTAATAAGATAACAAACGAAAACGTCCAAAGAAATATCAAATTGCAATGATGCACACGACATACGTAACACGTCTGAACCTGAATGTGACTCTGCCTTGATACGACTGCTCTGCCGCTCGGCATAGGCATTTAATTGCGAATTGACCAATGAGGGCTCCTGTTTTATGTCGAGACGGCGGCGTTAGCGTGAAAATCACCCGAACCTTTTGTTTACATCCGGTCTATCTCTTATCTGAATATACGTACGTCGATTACACGACACCGTGCTGGCTGGGTTGAATGTTCTGGTCACAGTCATCGTAAAAAGCCTTTGTTTGACAAAACTTTCTGTTTCTCTTTGAAGATACGGCAAAAATAAGAAGCAGCTTCAACTTTTCTCTGGATATTCACCGATGACCTTCAAACTGACGTTTACTATATCGTTGACGGTCAAATCAATGTCGAGAAAATGTTCTTTAATACAGTATTCTATACCCTTGAGCCCAGAAATCGCTAAAGCAAAACATACCACATTCATTACATAAACTTGAGTGAACATCTTCCTTTTCCCGGCCTATTCACTAGTGACCTTGAAACTGAGTTTGATAATGGCTTTGGAGGTTGAATGAAGGTCAAGAAAAATGTTTCCTGACACGCGGTAATAGAGCAGGAAATTGTACATCCAACTTGGTAGCTTGATTTCACCTCCAAGGCATGATCAAGGTGAGTTCTGAGGCCACCAGTGAAAAATTGAGGACCCCGATATATTTTTATACAAGTTTTTCAATGTCACACTAATTTCTAAAGGTCATATCTGAATGTTCTATTCACTTACTTGGTCAAAAATTGATATAAAAAAAATTGTCTAGATCTTGAATTTTACCTTCAACATGATCAAGGTCACATGCAAGGTTACTAAATAGCCAGGAAAAAATCCTTAATCATCACTATTTTAACCATACCAGAACCAAAAGTGGATTCATTCCGAACTCATCTATTTGTATTTACTCTAGAGTTCTTGTATGGTTCTGCAAATTATTCA